TGGTTGACATATTCATCTTTTTCCTTTTGTTCTTTACTCAGTGCTAAGATATGGCTAGACTCTAAAATCTTCTCATAAAACCGTACGTTTTACTGAAAATATTTCTTACACACTTCCAGCGTCCAATGATCTTGATTAACTTATCTTCGGTAAATTCTTCCAGCCAAGACTACACTTCAAAAATCAAAAAGAGATCTTTAGTTACCTTCGAATAAACGACCAATGCACAGGTATACGGAGATTTAAAATCTTAATACCACTATTTCAAAATATTAATGCACTTAATTTTTCAAAGAAGCCTCCAAATAGCTGAGAACAGCCAAATAACAATTTCATATACATTGAAATTATATATATAACACACACACACAGCAAATGTTCACAAGGCAAATAAATGAAAATGTAAATAATATCATATTGGGTGTGGGGTTAAATCACGATTTTTCTATTGAGGTGGAAGAAGAACATGCTTTATTTGTTGGTTCTTCAAAGTGAATCAACCTAGAAATGTGTCCTCTCCACATCTTTTTTTTTTGAGACAGAGTCTTCGTTTTGGTTGCAGGGCTAGGTGCCAGTGCGTGCTCAACCTCGCTGCACAGAACCTACAGCCTGGCCTCAAGCGATCTCCTGCCTCAGCTTCCTCCCAGTAGCTGGGACTACAGCATGACCACCCCCGCAATGCCAAGCCTAGGTTTTTTATCGTATATATTAGTATATATATTGATAGTACCGTATCACGGCTGATACCTCCTTTCTATATACTATTATATTTAGGGTGCCCAAATGTGGAGTTCTCCTTTCTATTTTTGGAGTAGGAGCAGGGGGTTCGGTCTTGCTTCAGCTGGTTCTAACAGCTCCTGACCTTGAGGACCGTTGGGCGACTGGATCCTCCCACGTTCCGCCCTCCCAGAGTGGCTGCTGATGCACAGGCGTGTGGGCCTCCACACCCAGCCGCCCGTCGTATGGAATTCTCTAGCTGTTAGCTTGGGTGAAAGCGTCTGGCTCCCCGTGGCGAGAGGGATGGAGATTTTTGGTGCTACACGCCGTGTGGACCATGCGGGTAAAGAGCTAATCCCCGAGGTCGGGTATTACACTGAGATGACCTTCGATTATTAGGCATACCGTACCATCTTTAAACATAACGGGCAGCGCCACGAGGCCTGTATGATGGTTCAAAACCGCTAATGCAGAGCAAAGCGAAAACTGTGAAAGACATAGCAAGAATCATCGCGACTTCAGAATGCAGACTACCTGCTGGGAGAGGGAAAGGAGGAGCTTGGAAATCCCTTGGGGTGTACAGGAGAATTCAACAACATTGCTAACTTTTCATTCCCTAGATTGGGCAGTGACCTCATGGGTGTGTGTTTTGCTATGCTGTTGATGGCTTACATAGGTACTACCTGTCTTACATAGAATGGCACATACATCATCGTTAAAAAAACGTAAATGGAAAGAGCTCCCTGTATATTATACAACAAACAGATTTATTTTTTTCTACATTTTCCTTGTTCTTTTTTTGAAACGTGGGTCAACAGGGGGGAAACCAGGCCTCGCTATTGATGATCGCAGCCTGTCATGAAAGGTTTTTACCTCCGGTCCAAACTGGGGTCTATGATGTCAGTGAACATTCTCTCCTGCAAACCGTTTTTGTTTTGGTTTGGTTTGGTTTTTTTTTTTTGAGGCAGTGTCTCGCTTTGTTGCCCAGGCTACAATGAGTGCCGTGGCGTCAGCCTCGCTCACAGCAACCTCCGACTCCTGGGCTCCAGCGATCCTCCTGCCTCAGCCTCCCAAGTAGCTGGGACTACAGGCATGCGCCACCACGCCCAGCTAATTTTTTCTATATATTTTTAGTTATCCAATTAATTTCTTTCTATTTTTTAGTAGCGACTGGGTCTCGCTCTTGCTCTGGTTGCTCTCTTAACTCCTGGGCTCAAGCGATCCTCCTGCCTCAGCCTCCTCTCGAGTAGCTGGGACTACAGACACGCGCCACCATGCCCAGCTAATTTCTTCTATATATATTAGTTGTCCAATTAATTTCTTTCTATTTTTAGTAGAAACAGCATCTCGCTCTTGCTCAGGCTGGTCTCGAACTCCTGACCTTGAGTGATCCTTCCGCCTCGGCCTCCCAGAGTGCTAGGATGACAGGCGTGAGCCACCTTGCCTGGGGTCTCCTGCAAACCTTATCACCTTCGGGGGTCGGTGGGGAGAGAGATAGCAGGAAAAATCCTTTCATCTGTCTTCCCCACTAGGAAAGCAGGAATTGGGCTGATTTTTTTCAGCAGAGAATCTACACAGGCGTCCTCAAACTACAGCCTGCTGGCCACATGTGGGTGTTTTTGCCTGTTTGTGTTTTTTATTTTACTTCACAATAAGATGAGTGCAGTGTGCATAGAAATTTGTTCAAATTTTTTTTAAAACTGTAGCCTGGCCCCCCAACGGTCTGAGGGACAGTGAACTGGCCCCCTGTTTAAAAAGTTTGAGGACCCCTGGTCTACAATGTTTAAATGATGCCTGGTAATAAGTATTTGTTGAATGAATGAATGAATGAATGAATGAATGAATGAAATAACAGAAGGAATAAAAAAGGAATATGCACTAGGAGATTATCTACTAAGACGGAACATAGTAGACTCCAAGGGAATGAACCACGATGACTTATTATAATAATTACCTATATTGACTTAATAATTATTAGTTATTAATAATTACCTAGTGGGCCCTAAGGAAGTCTCTCTCTCTTTTTTTTTTTTCTTTCTTTCTTTTTTTTTTTTTTTTTTGTAGACTGGTGACCTATACCATCTTTTTCCTTTTTGTTTATTTACAGTGCTAAGAGTATGGTTAGATTCTAAAATCTTCTCATAAAACCGTACGTTTTACTGAAAAATTTCTTACCACTTCCAAGCAGTCAATGATCTTGGTTAACTATCTTCAGGTAAATTCTTCAGCAAGGACACACTTCAAAATCAAAAAGAGATCTTTAGTTACCTTCCTGAATTAAACGACCAATGCACAGGTATACGGAGTTCTAAAATCCTTATATACACTTTCAAAAATATAATGCATCTTAATTTTCAAAGTAAGCCTCCAAATAGCTGAAACACACAAATAACTAAATTTCATATACATTGGATATATTATATATACACACACACACAGACAAATGTCACAGGCTATAAATGAAAATGGTAAATATCATATTGGGGGGGTTAAATCACATTTTATCTATTGAGGTGGAAAAGAACAGCATTTATTGTTGGTTTTCAAAGTGAATCACACCTAGAAATGTGTTCCTCTCAATTCCAAGGATAAAGTGTTTCACAGTCTGATTCAGAGGCTCGTCACCAAAAAGGACCAACATACCCTGCCTCTGCCCCATTTCCTAATTATGCACCGCTGGCTGGTTTATTCCACCAAAACCCTGCAAGGCATTGTGATGTTAATTGCAGCAAATCAAATGCCTCTTGAGCAAGGCAGATTAGTTTATCAAATATACCGAAAGATTAAAAATATGTAAATCAAATTTCACTTTACACATGCAAATCCGACTTCCTTTTTATGCATTTCAAGAATCTAAACCCTTTCCAGACTCCAATTCAGTACCTAAGTTGGCCTAAGGAAAGTCTCTCTCTCTTTTTTTCTTTCGTTGCTTTCCTTTTTTTTTTTTCTGAGGCTCCCCGGCGGGGCGTTCCCTTTTTTTTTGTAAGACTGGTGGACCTATACCATCTTTTTCCTTTTGTTTATTACAGTGCAAGAGTATGGCTAAGATTCTAAACTCTTTCATAAAACCGTACGTTTTACTGGAAAAATTTTTTGGGGACCCATTCCAAGCAGTCAAGTTTGCAATTGAAATCTTTG